ACATACATTGGGCAGTTCGCTTAGTTGAACACGCACACAATATTTGGTAATATTAAGGAGTGGGATTTATTTAGGGAAGTGATGTTATAGTAAACTATATATAAAAACTATATTTCTGTACTCTATTCTGTAGAGTAATCCATCAACAGTATTGTTGTTATATGGGTCTCTAAAAAGTTTATTACAACTTTCTTTCATGGCCAGGTCGCTTGCTATTGCTGGATTACATCACAATTTTTTCCATTGGGTGTTTACTGTTATTTCAGATTAATAATACTTATGCTTGCTTAGCGATTCTGTAAGCAGTGATGATAATGATGATCCGGAAAGTTCTTGGACCAAAATTCGTCTTGGCCACAATATTCATTGCAGATGAAGATGAAGGTGATATTTAAAAATCTACAAAATACATAAATACTCTACCATATGAAGAATATTTCAATAAATTCCATGTACTTCATATTCCAATCAAACTTTTACCATATTAACATAATTACATTAGATTACAAGTCACTCCTTATTTTTACAAATCATTGTAATTGTATGCAACTCATATGATCAATATCCTTACTTAAAATGCATAACTTCCCCTCAAATTAATCCATTATAATGTCTTGAAATATATATTCCAAGGAAAGGTGTTTTTTTTTACAAGCCTGTGGGTTTAATTTTATTTTAGCAATATGTATATCTTTAAGTCTGCATGCAGCTATAATTTGCTAAAGAATGAACAAATATGAAGAATCGCCGCAGTTTATCATTTGGTCACATAAAACTATATATTATTACAATTACGTGTAGATTCATTACTCCAGGACAAAAAATATGAATGATTGAAAGATATAAGAACGTTTGCAAAAAAAACCATGTTAAATACGTATAAATTTATGAGGACATTACATTATGGAGGACAAATCGGTTCTTAATGGAAAGTTGTGCTCTCCTTCTTCTTCTATTAGTGTTTAACGTCCGCTTCCACTGATTGTGATAACACAGACAAGTTGTCTTATTTTATTATGTTTAGCGCATGTGCATAAGTCTTTACTGGGCGGTGGGGGGGGGGGGCAGAGTACCCGTAGTAAACCCACGAGGTTGAGAAAGCGCCCCTATCTCCAAGCCACACCGGGAATCGACACCACGAGGTGACAGGCTAGTCGGAGCTCGAAGTGCGACACTGGGCCACCCCAAAGTTGTTCTTAGTTATCGATTCTAAGTGCATGCTTACGTGCAAATGCAATGCGTTACCATTGTACACTAAAATCACACTCGTGGCACCACATAATATTTCTCATTATTTAGTTTATGGACTAAGTTGTTTTTATTCTAAATATTATATTCTAAGTACATGTCTACAATAAAGACATCAACTTTAAATGTTGTCTTCAAATATTTCAATCCGGATATCTTCTCGAAAATAGAGTAAAATAAAAGTAAGTTATGGCATTAGCTGATTTATCTAATATTATGGCCAGGTGGTGTTATGTTCCTTTTATATAATGTTCTTCTTGTATTATGCCAACCTCGTGGTGTTAAATATCTTAAATAGAATATCCCCGACTAGTCGATCTGAGTGATTATAATACTGGATTCTGCTTAAATAAGTAACGAACTAATAATGGAAGAAAAACTGGGGACTAACAATAAAGATCTTAGTTGTCTTCCATATACCCGGAGAATAAGTAGTCTACATAATTTGCTGAATGTCATTTACACAAATATATATTAAAAAAAGCAATAATGTATTTCATTTTTCTCCGAACAACGACATCTCTATATTTTCCTAAACAAGCGTTCAGCTCATTACATAGAGCCCCTATATAATTCTAGTCGTATAGCTTCTCATTTGCTAACAAGTTGTAACGGTAGGGAGCGGAGTCGAGAACAGGGACACAGCAGATTGCATTACCCCATTAATACCTTAATTGATAGTTTTAATATTCGTGAAGGAGTATTTAATTCTTGACAATTTTACCAAATGCTTATTTAAGGAAATTTGGTTCAATGCGATGTGTATTAGATGGAAACAATGGCAATACGAGGGGTGAGTAACAGATCATATTTTACAAACATTTTCAAAATTTTGTACCACAAACAGATAAATTAGGTAAGTGCAAACCCAATTTAAAATGTGCTAATAATTTTGTGTAGATCCAGTTGAAATGTTTTTCATGATGTAATGGAATGTATTTTTAAAATTTAGACATCACGAATATATTGAAACAGATTTATAAACAGACAAAGGTAGTTTATATTAACCATATTTAGGTGATCTTTTAAAACAAATTGGAATAAAATATCTTGAATCTGAACGAGCTTTTACGAAATGAGTAAATTGTATGTTGGTTTAAACTTAATAATTCAAATAATGGCTATAAACTTACTGAATTCTCTTTTGGAAAAGATAAAAAAATTATAGAATATATATAATTAAATGAATTAGATAATGCTGAAAGAAATAATTTAGGGGTGTGGAGAATAACAATTGATGCAAATTCTTAATGTTCTCTGAGATATTCCGTGATTAACAAGAAATGGCACTGGGTTCAGTTCGCTGTCTGTAACTAATGGTTGTGATAATGCTAGTTCCATTTCGATAATAATGTTTCTTAATAAACCCAACTTACAAATACTAAGTATTGAAAATTTAATACCAGACTAATAAAAGAAGCTCTGAAAGATAATTTGATTTTCATGTTGATAGCATCATCGACCAGACATCAAAACAGCCGTATCATTGCATGACAACTGCAAGGCGGAAACACTGTTGGAAAAGTATCACATCGGCATGCAAACCCTTCAGTCTGTTTTTCTTAAAATCAAATCTATAGTTTTCTCACTAACACTAAAGGCAATATGGCCGTGGTGTGGTAACATCATATAAAATTGAATGAATCGCGTCATTTTCTCAACTTTCTTTCATAGTTTCTCTATTGTTCCTCGCATGTTGTAAGATATCTATTTTCATTCAGTCTTTTCAACCCAAACTCGTATGCGTTTTGAAAGGCAATGGATCGTCTGGCCGAGTGTATTTATTGGAATGTTTTTTTGCTTTTTAAAAGTATACTATTAAGGCACATCAAAATTTCGAGAGCTTTTTAAGTTAGCAGTTCACGGAAAAGTATGCTGACTAATTCCGACATTAATGCTTCTTAACCTGAATATTTGGACATTGAAAGGAAATGAAATATATAGTAACCGGAAATCAAAGTCTCGAACTGTCTTAAACAATTATTACTATAAATTATCTGTGATAAAATACTAAAGTACAATAAATATTAGGTATGTGAATTTCTCAAACGAGAAGAAAAGAAAGATATTTTTCAAAAACATGAAGTATGATAAAACAAACATTTAGAAGTGTATTAGCAAGAAAAGTACGGGGACTGTAGAATACGGTATTGATAAATACTGAACGGAATTGAACCATTTTTAGATTGATATCCCTTAATTCCTCAAATGACGCCCAGTTCCCGAGCTCACAAAGCATTCTCGGACGTAAGTTTAAAATTTACGCAACTTTCGATCACTGTTTATGAGAAATATCTTTTGATACAGAAACACGGAAGTTTCTTATTGATGTATTTGATACATTAAAACAACAACAGTTTTATAAAGGGCCATATTTTAGTTAAAACAAGGCAAACAATTTTGAGTTAATCATTGAAGGTACAATTCCCTGGCGCAGCTGAGAAATAGTAATCGTGTAATTCTATTCAGCGTGGTGTGTGTGTGTGTGTGTGTGTGTGGGGGGGGGGGGTGCCACGACGGCGGCGTTTCAGTGAACCTTATAAACTGGATTTTGTATATTAAAGTTCCCAGTTTGTACCTCCCAATCGAATTTTCTCAGGTATACCCAATGTTCTGACAGTATAATACTGTGATATAATAATAAGGGTTATATTTTTCAGATAGTCGGGAAATAAATATCGTGTATCGCGGTGATTTGGTACTGAACAAATAATAGAATTTACAAATGCTTGAAAAAGATTAATCTAAAAATATCATTATTAGCTTAACCCTCTTAAAATATCGAATTTCACCTGCGTTATTTATGATGTAAAAGACAGACTAAAAAAAAACGTACACACACGCTGTATTTTACACACACATTTAATTTAATTACAGGTTCAAATGTTACGTAATTTTTTTACAGTTAGATTTTAAAGGAATATATTTATATAATAAATAGCAGTTGAATAAAAATAACGTCCCATTTATATCAATGACAACACCCACGGAATATGTATACACTTCTAAATTTTTATTTCAGTGATAATCCATTTTGAGAAATTTCATAAATAACTCTTAAAATTAAAAATAAAATTATAAGGCAAATTAAAAAACTTTATATGAAAACTAACCCCCCTCTTTAAGGTATCAGTTACATTTAGCCATCATTATGGCAATAATATTGGTATATGTATTGTAATATTATTATTATAATTTCCACAAAGAATCTCTTTGATGATATTATAAAAAATGACAGAGTCACAATAAATACGGTCAAATAGTATCAAATGCTTGTAAAGCCCCCATAACCCACCCGGCATGTAATCATTTTAAGAGGTATTATGAAAAACCACATACCCTTAAAATATCTCACAGAAATTTACATACGTATACATACATCCTTAGTTGGTATAACCGTGTAAAATGATTTTTTGTGTAATAATATTTAATATGAAATTTATAAAGATGTGTGTCACTAATACAGATCATTAATGTAGACTCCTGAACATAGAAATGTCAATTCAACACTAAATATCATCCATTTTGGATATACTATATAGGTATCATAAATGGCCGATTTATCAAAGATGCTATTAATCCAGTCAGGGGTTTGACTGCTCGGTAATTAGCTATCTTCCGGTATGGGCTAATTGGTAAAAAATCTGGTAGTTCGAGACTAATGAGATTTTAATTATAAAGGTGAAATACCTGCTTATAGTGAATAGTGTGAACGAATGAATTATAAAGACTATTTGAAAGATTATACTTACAGAAAATTACCGTACACACAATAAGATAAATAGATTACTCCAATAAAAAACTTGGTGTGACGGCTAACCCCCATTCTTATAAGGCATGTTCACGTGCTAATCCTAGGAGGAAGGGGACACCGATCAACCTCGGGGGGATACAAAGCACCACTTTCATACGTTTTGTTTCAGCTAAATCCAGTTGTAGCACAATTAGCTATATCTTTAGATCTAAAGATGGGAAACTTTCACGACGTATATGACATGTTGAATATATCGATACGACAGTCTTAGCTTCTACCGCAGTACGTTATTATCTCATTGGTCGAGTCAGATCATCATCGACATAATCACTCCCATCTTTCAATAAAACGCCAGCTAATTGGTCAATATTGTTTTCATCTCGTCTTTTAACCACACCCCTATCTTCTGTCAAATTAATTCAGGTATGTCTTTCTTTTCGCACACTAGATTGAATATCATTGTTTGTCTGTGCGAGTGGGTTTTTTATGTCATCTATTCTGATTTGGTTAGTAGTTTGACAATAATTCTCTCACTTCTGAATTCGAGCGTCTCTGGGCACCACCAGGGGCAAAATCGCCGTCTGTCATTTAGATACACAGTCATGATTGCCCACGTTCATATTTTAAACGATATCGATTGTGGCTTACGCAGACGACAAATTATTTCTGACTTTTCACTGTAATTGATGCGCGTGACGAATTGCGCGATAATGTTTTCTATGTCTAGCTTTTCGAAAGTAAACTGAATGGTTTTAAGGCGATATTGAACACGATATAGGCCTAGCATGGTTCAGTCTAACATATAGGCTTATGAGAATGAACAAAATCAGTAAGGTATGTAATGACGCAAACGAGAAAGACCAGTTACATGATTGGGTACATGATTAAGATATTTGGAATCATTTAAGGCCGTGTGAATAGAGGCAGATATGCCTAAACCTTTAGATTATTCTTATTTTATTCAGCCATTTGTTTCCGAATATACACAGAGATAGGACATAACTAATTTGTTCCTATTTGATTAAAATATCAAATGTAGACAACTGCATTTTATTACTTTTGATAACGGTAAATAAATTTTCCCTTACTACCACGAAATCAACAAATTTTATTGGAGCCGGACCCCGTTTTAACCAAATGGTGAACTGGTAATTTGCATTCTCCTTCTTTTCCGTGCCTTTCCCAGCCTCATCACGATAAAACACGATATAGAACATACCTTGGAAAGTGGGGATTTGATTATTTTCAGTGAGTACTTTATAGGAGGATAATGAAATAATAAAAAATTGGTGTGGGGCATCGTCCCCTTGCACCCCAGTTACAAAATACCAATACTTCAAGCTTTGCGACAGAAGTTGATATAGAAAAAAACAACGGAAAAGTTTCTTTATCGTAAAAGCATATTATATTTATTTTCCATGGTTAACTTTTATTATCTTTATTTTTTTTAAAAAAATTGATTCTACCAAAATTAACCACGTCTCATTAATGAAAAAGATTAAAAATTATGCCTTTGGGTATTGAAACTAATATCGACAGCATCGATCAAACGCGTCTTTAGGCCATTACATATATTTTTCTTTTTTGTTATCAGGGCTACAGCAAACACAATTAACTTAAAAAATATATCACTTTAAGCAGTCATTAATCATTATTAATTCTGAAAATATTAACTATACTTTGTCATTCTTAAATTTAGCTAGTCTACCTTTTCAATTAGAAATTAATCTCTAAGAATAAAATAGTCTGGTTAAAATGCATTAAATTATGTTTATCTTGAAATAAAAACGACGAATGGGTTGATTAGAAGTATAGTGTTGCTTCGCCTGATCATGCAAATATTAAAATCTATATTTAAGAATGCCTAACTCATTGGCCTTAAAAAAAACCTTATTATTACCACACTATGCATAGTATATTATAGTCGGTTGTATTTTATAGATCACGTGTGGACTATAGCCAATTTGTAATTGATATTTTCTTTTATTATAAAAAATAACCATTAAAGGGGTATGACAGTTCTCGCTATAACAGTTTATAAAAATAGAAAATGAAAAAGGAATATGTTGAAAATTTCACTCAAATTACTCCACACTGAGTCGAGTTATCGTCGTTAGATGAACAGTGTAGTCTTGATTGTCATAGCTACCGTTGTTAAGATTAAATAAACAGTCTCGATTATCCATTTTTAAATTAAATCATTAAATGGCCGAACCGTTCTAATCTACTTAAAATCGGAGCCATCCGATGGCATCGAGAGTTGTTTATGGTCTTGTCATGTTAATTAAGGTATAATAAATAATTTATATAACATTTATGGCCTGAATAAAGAACTTGCAAAATGCCTGTTTAATTATTCATTTGTTTTGAGTGAAACCGGTTACATGCTTGCAATAAACAAAGTTACCAATATTCTTTTGAAACATTCGGGTGGCACTGGATTGATGTTGTTGAGTTAAATACTTGGCCTGTTTATAAGAGTTCTGTAATTTATAAATCTACTACTAATTGCTATAATACTATAGTACCCCGTATCTGTATACAATATATCTCAAGAGGTTATACAGGAAACTGTACAAAAACAGAGACATAACAAACTTGTTCTCAAAAAAAAAAATAAATAAAAAAAAAAAAATAAAATCGTCGCTGGAAAGATTCTGAGGTTTGATATTATTGAAGTGACCAGCTTTCTCAAACAAATTATAGTCCGATTTATCAAAAGATTGTCGTTACTATCTATGATGTCCATCACTCTGAAATTTGTCTAACAGTGATATATATGTATTTAAGGTAGATCATCAGTTTATTAATATGTTATCATTATCAGGGGCAATAAATCGCGTAAATATTATATAATAGACTGGTGATTTATGTTCAATCACCCGAGTCACACTTCATACTTCATTAAACACGAATAACTCACATTTAAAACTATAAAGATGTCACGTTGTTTACAGGTCACTTGTGTCACGTGGTCCACAGACCACCAAGATTCTATGAACATTAAATACATATCTTCGGTCTGGGTATGGAAATAATATGATAATAGTCATTTCATAGAAGTTTTAGCGATGATTGAAACTCTATAAATTTTGTTATTCTAGTGTGAAATAGGAGTCTATTAAAACTTCATCTGTTCGTTAGAAATATTAAACTTTATCCGGTCGTTAGAAATATCAAACTTTGTACACAGTCGTTAGATTTATAAAACTGTACCTGAACTTTAGAAACATAAAACGCTACCTGGTCTTTACAAATAATAAAACTTTGCCCGATCGTTAGAAATATAGAACTTTACCCAGTCGTTAGAAATATAAAACTTTACCCGGTCGTTAGAAATACAAAACTTTGAATATAAAACTTTACCCGGTCGTTAGAAATATAAAATTAGAAAAATCAAACTTTCAAATAGATAAATCAACCTATTCAAATGCAATATCAGCTTGATTAAACTACAAACGTGATTAGTTTTCTGTTTGCCCTTCTTTGTCGGTTCAGAAAAAGTAGGACGTTAAACCCCATTTCATTTCTCTCTTTTTGTCTAATTTTTTTTTGTATTTTCTGTCACATAACTTCTTCTGACACCAGCCTAAAATTATTGAGTCCTTGACACTTGCAATAGAGCATCATGTTAAAAATGCAAAACTTTGCATAATAAATATCCAACAGCACACATTATTAGATATGTATAACCGGTTTAACAATGAAACAAAATTACAATAAATATATAAACAGAAGTCTGTTTTTTAAAAGCGTAACTTAATTCCGATAACTCCTATATATTAGGCGGTTTCAACAATTCAAAATCGAAATTCAAAATTAACGAATAATAAGCATTATTCCTTTATTTGTTACCCATACATAAAATCATATCTCTTTAAAATTAGGCCAAAATATACTGTTGGGTAAAAATCTTACACTTATAACTCAGATATTAATCCTCTAAATTATTTATTTTAGATAAAATTTTAGAAGTCTAAAGATCACACCTCGGTGGATCTTCTGTCTCTGATCATTAAATAAAGAAACGTAACCTATGGACGAACGCGACTACATCCTGTCGAACGGCTGTCGGAAAAGATCAAAGTGACATTTTTATGATATTGGGACTAGAAAATTATTAATATAGCGACAAAACTTGTCGATTTTTGGTAATAAAAAGCTACATTGAGAGAAGCAGTCAATAAAAAGCAATAGGCTTGCCTTTTACACCGAGTACTGCACTTACTTAAAAACATAAAGGCTACACAAAACCCAAATAAACAAGATAGCTATTGATTTGGGGGCATTGATAATATAAGATAGGAAGCCCTACCATGTATAGTTTTCAAGACACAGTGTTGCTTGTTTGAAGTCTTCAAACGATCAACTCGACACACAAACACCATCAACAATTAAATGACTACGGTTTATTTTAGACGTCGATTTCCAGTAATACATCTAGCTTTTATATAGCGGGTCAGTTCAATAACGTATCAAGCTTTAAATTAGATAATAAAAGGCTTACAACATAATTCATTTCTATGGGCTACCTTTATTCACTTTCTTTCATGTTTTTCTGATCAAGAGAGGGCAAAGAGAAGGAAACCACCCACCTCACAGCGTTTTATATTTTTTTTATGAAATGAAAATGCCAGAGAAAATCTCAATGAGTAAATTGCGTGCATCTTAAAGGTATAAATCAATTTTTTTGCACGTACTGGGCCAATGCGGCTTTGGTGTAGGCCAAAAAATATTTTTTCAATTCCATTGGATTTTGTATGCTGATTTGTTTTACGGGAGTTGAGTATGTCTCAAGTGAACGTTGAGATGTACTGGATTGTGTATTCCCCTGTCAACACATTAAGGGAGGATGAAACTAAATCTAGTGAAGAAGCAGAATATTTTGAAACATCAGATCACCCCAATTCAGGAATCAACGAGGTTAAAGGGCGAATAGCTCTATTGTTTGAAACAGAAATAGACGAAAATGATTCTAAAAGAACATATTTTAACATTAAAATGTAATATGAATGTACGTAAAGTGATTTATATTCAATTTTTGATAAAAAATATTGCAAATTCTAACCAATTATGTTTGGTAAAATACGTGAACAGTTCAAATTGAACGGCAGTCGTTTACGCCTGCTTAGTCCATTCTACGTTTTTTTTATTATTATCATTTTGTCGTTTGTGAATCAACCGTTACTAATTATCTCCACATTGTCTTGTAGGATATGTTTTTATTTGTTAATTACAAAATG